ATATATACGCAGTATCTGACGCTAAGTCAATGTTGATGTTGCTTTTAATGGAGGCACAAGACAGCTTAGGTTTTGGACGCCGTGCTATTTTAATGAATGTAATGACTGAGGACTTCTGATGCAGCCCAGATATAGCTGATGGAATCTGGGGTTAGGTTAGGTGTGCCAAGTTCTTTTTTCTGTCTCTTATACACATCTAGATGTGTATAAGAGACGGGTTTAGGACTGCAAAGGCATTTTCCTTGTAAGGATGACCATGCTGTTGAACATGGTTGTGTCAACATCAACAAGCTATCTGGGGGATACTATGGTTAGGTTAGGGACTCCAGGTTGTTGTTTATAGTGAAATTAGCGAGTTTTGAAAGTATGGCCCCAGGACGTAGAATAAAGCTCTAAACTAAAAACATTATCTTTTCGAATGAATATGTTGCATTGCCTCATTCTTTGCCTTCGCGTGGCTATAAGAGACTTTATTTGTATTTTTTTCACTTTAAAAAATGTTGATAAAGATCCCAAGCCTCCATAACCCCCGCTAGTACCGCCATGACCCCCCCTACCCCCGCAGACGTGGAGGCGTGTGGTGCAGACGGCGGCCACAACGCGGAGGTCCTGCGGCAGCTCCTCGTGCAGAAGAGACAGGTGAGCGCGCGGGGCACCTCACTGCCCATCACTGCCCTCCATTGCCCATCACCGCCCATCTCTTGCTATAACTGCCAATCATTGACTCCTCACCGCCCCTCACTGCTCCTCCCCGCCCCCCATAACCCTCATATTGCGCCCCCAGGACAGCGACGCGGGGGAGGCGCCCTCGTGTGGGGGGAGTGACGCGGGCTCCATCATCACGAACCCTGCCTTCCACCGCCACCGCCTCTCCCACCACAGCTTCCGCTCCACCGTCTCCGACTCTGAGCTTGAGCACTCCAATGTATGTTGCTCTGGGATGTCTGGGGTGACTGTGATGCCTGGGGTGAGTGTGATGTCTGGGGTGACTGTGATGTCTGGGGTGAGTGTGATGTCTGGGGCGACTGGGGTCAGTGTGATGGCTGGGGTGACGTGGTGTACTTGGACTTCGCGAAAGCGTTTGACAAAGTTTACCATGGAGTGCTCTTCAGAAAATTGAGACTGCTGGGAGTCGGAGGTGAATTGCTGGCATGGATCCACAGCTTCCTAACAGAAAGACTACAATCTGTCGTTGTAGGAGGCTCGAGATCGAGCGTGGCTAGGGTGAAGAGTGGAGTACCACAGGGAACGGTACTCGGCCCAATCCTCTTCCTCATCCACATCGCCGACATAGATGTGGCAGTGAACCACGCCACTGCATCGTCATTCGCGGACGACACCAGGATATTAATGACCATCACGGACAGGACGGACAGTGAGAGGTTACAAGAAGACCTCTCTGCAATATATGACTGGGCCCTAGTGAACAACATGCAATTCAACGGGACCAAGTTTGAGGTTCAGAGGTACAGAGAAACCGGAAGAGCTGGAATGGATCACCGCTACCTGGCACCTGACAACTCGGAAATCGAAGAGAAGCGACTCGTTCGCGATCTAGGAGTGTTGATGAACAATCAGATCAATTTTGGTGATCACATACCGGCAATAACCGCAAAAGGTAGACGACAGATGGGGTGGATCTGGCGGACGTTCAGAACAAGAGAAGCGGAACCGATGATCACACTCTTTAGAGCCCTTGTAATATCAATTCTCGAATACTGCTGCCAGCTCTGGACTCCGTTCACACTCGGCGCAGTGCGGCAACTGGAAGGTGTCCAGCGAACTGTCACTTCCAGGATCAGAGGGATGGAAGAGTTGAACTACTGGGAGAGGTTGAGGCGCCTGGGTCTGTACTCACTGCAGATGAGACGGGAGAGGTATGTCATTCTGTACACAGGGAAAATGATAACCGGAATGGTGCCAAACTTCGAGAGCGAGACCTTCAGGATTGAGACACATCAGAACGAGAGAAGGGGGAGACTGTGCAAGATCCCCCCATTACGTAACAGATCCGCAGTCAGATTTCAATCCCTGCGGGATCACTTTCCATGGCAGGGCCAAGGCTGTTCATCGTCCTACCAAGGGATCTAAGAGAGAGGGAGTTCACCCTGGAAACCTTCAAAAGACAACTAGACGTGTTCCTGAGCACAATCCCAGATCGACCTCCCCTGCAACACTACCAGCGGCGAGAAGCAAGCAACAGCATCGTGCATCAGGTGGCCCAAATGAGGGCGGATGAACGATAATCAGAGGCGGTGATCCATCGTGGCCTGGGACTGCTATATCCCAAACAAGTACCAAGATTTCCAAGACCAAGACTGTTGTGACTAATGAGTGTGGTGAATGTACTGATGACTGTTGTAACTGTAATAAGTGGGGTGACTGCGATGATGGCTGATGTTACCATAAATCAATTATAATGCAAAAATAATTTGTGTCTGTGAGCAATTTAGTTTACATTTGTATAATTCTTTAGGATATTATGTGCATCGCCGTGTGATAACAATTCTCCAAACAGTTTTTGTGTCGCCATAACAATATCCTGACGTCACCTGATCATGAGAGATAATATTATGACTGTGATAAGTATGTTACTGCCACTAATGTGGTAGCGGTAAGGCTAACAGAAACGTTAACAGTTACGGTAATGGTAACGTTAATATTAACACTTGCTGTAATGGTAACACTAACGGTAACAGTAACAGTAACAGTTAGAGTAATGGCAAGACTAACGGTAACGGTAACATTAAGAGTTAGAATAATGGTAAGACTAACGGTATTGGTAAGGGTAACAGTAAGAGTAATGGTAAGAATAACGGTAATGGTAACGATAAGAGTAACGGTATGGGCAGTTCCCGCGGGGTAACAAGAGGACCTCGAGCATGTGGTCGAGCAAGAGTTCGCTGTCCGCGGGGGTTCGCTACCACGCCTCTGGTACCATGATACCTGCCTCCACCACGCCCTCACCTGACTCCGGCAGGACCTACCTTTATGAAGGTGAGTCATGGTGTGATGTGGGTGACTTAACGTCATGGTGCTTCCTCTATGAGGGTGACTTAACATCACCATGCTTCCTTTATGAGGGTGAGTTAACATCACCATGCTTCCTCTATGAAGGTGAGTTAACATCACCATGCATCATCTTCGAGTGAGAGGCTTCAGCAGCTATCACTGATACTACCAAAGGCCGCTCTATGTTAACAATTCTTGACTATCGTGTAAACTTGCATTGTAGACAAACTATAAAGATAAAAGCCGACATTTATTAATAAAAAATTGTGATCGTTTTGAAGCATTGAGTGTCGAGCAGCTGATAATACCAGCAAACGCCGCTCTATGTTTACAATTCATTCCTATCGTGGAAACTTGCAATATAGATAAGCTATAAAGAGTCAAGCCGAGATTTATTAATAAAATAGTCTGATCGTTTAGAAGCGTTGGATGTTGTGTTTGGTCAGGGCTGATCGGCAAAGAGCGGTCACCGCTGTGGGACCAGATGCAGTTCTGGGAGGACGTCTTTTATTTATTACTTATTTATTACATATTTATTACATATTTATTACTTATTTATTACACTTATTAATAAAAATTGTGATCGTTTAGAAGCCTTGGTTGTTGTGTTTGGTCAGGGCTGATCGGCAAGGAGCGGTCACCGCTGTGGGACCAGATGCAGTTCTGGGAGGACGTCTTCCTGGACAGCGTCGCTCAGGAGCGCGACATGGTCGGCATGGACCAGGGGCCTCGCGAGATGATGGAGAGGTCCGCACCAGCAATAACTTCTATTCTTATTACGCTCTTTAAGCAATATAAGCTTTGTAGTCAAATGAATATTTATTTTATATAATCTAGGTTACTCGTCTCGAAGTGTTGTCACTCGAAGGTGACTCAGAGTATTGTGGTTGGAATTGTTCACTTGTGAATTCCCCTCTTGATATTACGTAACATTGCATGAGCCTGCATTTGTAGGGTACAGTTTGACTAGTGCCTCATGTAAAGTGTCCCGACGTAGCCTAGCCCCACGAGGCATGCCATGGCTAAGGTGCAAATTAAGCAAATTGCTCACGTATAATTGACCGGCCTAACTAAGCCTAACGTGGCCTTGTCTTCGTAAGGTACAACAACTTGAGCGAGTCTGAGCGCAAGCGACTGGAGCACGAAGAGGACCGTCTGCTGGCGACGATGTTGTACAATCTAGTGGCGTTCATGGTCATGGTGAACGTGAGGAAGGAGGAGATCAAGACTAAAGTGCGTCGTTTGCTCGGCAAGTCCCACATAGGACTCGTGTACTCGCAGGAGCTCAACGACCTCCTCGACCAGATCAACAATCTCGTAAGTTCCTCCCAATAACAATAACTTCGTGCTTGGTCTTCTTGTCCACTACCTAATTCATTTTCATTCCTCGTGCCCACAATTTGATAAATTTGTCCCTCTTTCAAGTTTCTCTCTTTCGTATTCTCTACTCTGATTATAACTTGTCATGTTTATTTCAAAATGCCGCAACAGGCGACTGAATTAATTTTTTTCATCTTGATATTCTGTAAGACGTAAATATATTCTACGAGTAAGGATTGCTATAGACGACCTAAGTCACTATGATAATAGACGACCTAAGTCACTATGATTATAGACGACCTATGATTGCTATAGACGAGCTAAGTAACCCGCTGCTCGCAGCACGGCAACAACATCGACCTCAAGCCCCTGGGGTCGCGGCAGATGCACCGGCAAAGCTTCACCGTGCACTCCGGCACCGACGCTTCAGGTGCGTCGCGCCTTCAGTACACGTAGAATTACTGACCAATGTTGCTCAATTGTTGCTGCATCTTTCTGTCAACAATAATAAGAAACTGACCTCATGACGGCTGACTAACTATAATAACGACCTCATGAACGGTATAGAGCCGTAGAAATAGCCCCTGTAGTACAAGTCTTCTTTTTTATTTCACGTAAACATTAAATGCTGTTGTCCAAGAACCTATAGTTCTAATCTTTACGCTTTAGGGATTTTGTTTATATATCTACCTTTCAACATTTTTTCTATAGGTACTTATCAAGTGGTATACGAAACTTGATGTCAATTTTTCACCCCCAAAGTGTCGATTTTTTTCCTCCCCGTTTTTAAATCGTTCCAAATTTGTTTTTTAGCGCATTTTCTCATTTATGGAAAAAATGTACTATTGTGCTCGCCGTGTCCATCTGTCTGTCTGTTTGTCTGTCTGACCGTCTGCCTGTCCGTCCGTGACTTCACGTTTTCGTCGACGAGAAAATGCGCTCTCTGTCACTCACTGCAGTGAGTACTGAGTTGTATTTTTTTTATCGTGATCTTACCCATCAGGAGAGCTGCTTTTCCTGGAGGTGCGGGACGACGGTCTCATCCTGCGTTCAGTGAGCGGCATCATCATGGAGCGGTGGTGGTTCGAGCGCCTCGTCAACATGACGTATTCTCCTAAGAATAAAGTCTTGTGCTTGTGGCGACGTAATGGCGGCCAGACACAGCTACACAAGTACTACACTAAGAAGGTGGGACTGCTCGCTAATTAAGTGCTGCATGCTGCGCTTTTAGTGAAGGAGCTTCACTTTAACTACACTAAGTAGGCGGGACTGCACGCTAGGTGCTGCACTTATGGTGAAGGATCTTCATTTAATGATACACGTGGAGTGGACTGAATATCCCTGGCAGAAATACGCCAAGTCTGGAGCCGGACTATTAGAACTCGCTCCGTTTATACCCCGTAGCATATACCCTTCCCCTCCCCATATCGGCCTCCCTTACTTCCCTTATTCTGGCAGTGTAAAGACCTGTACTCCCCTTATTCTGGCAGTGCAAGGACCTGTACTCCCCTTAT